ACGGAACTGTCAGTCCCGTTGTTTTCTCCTCCAGATTGTTCATCCAGCCTGTCCTATCCAGACAGGCCTGCGGATAACATACATTTTTAATGATTTTACATACAAAAACATGCATTTAAATGATTTTCTATACAAATGGGATTAAAAATGTTCCTGGGAAAATGAGATGAGAAGATAATGGAAATTTTCCATGAACTTTTCAAAGCACACTCACATACACAGCATATTTATTGCATGAATTGAAATACTTATAAATGAAAATGAATATTAAGTTGGTTGTTTATTAAGTAGTCAATCCATTTAAATGGTTATATTTATATGTCTGGAAAAATTAAAACAGAAAAACTTAAACTAATAACTATGGTTAATTGATATTTGGCAAAAGTATCACTACCATTCAATGAGGAATGAATAGTACCTTCAATTAATGGAGCTGAAATAACTGAATTTCCAAATGCAAAAGAATGAGGCTGGACCCACCCCTCACACCAGATATGAAAATTAACCAAATATGAATTGATGATAAAAACTACAATGACAAAATCCTATGAGAAAACAGGGATAAAGCTTCAGGATTTAGATTTTGGCACTAGACGCTTAGATACGACACTAAAAGTATGAGTTACAAAATTAAGAAATGGATAAACCAGACTTCATAAAAATTTAAAACTCTATCCAGCAAAGTATTTTATCAAGTAAGTGAACAGATAACTTACAGAATGGGAGAACATATTTAGTTTTCTATTTATGTTTCTATTTAGAAACCTAAATTTATGTTTCTATTTAGAAACCTAAATCTAAGTTTAAGGTAAACAATATATAAAACTCCTACTCCTCAAGCAACAAAAGTCAGTTAAAAACAAAACCAGGCACACGGCTTAGAGAAATTTCTCCCAAGAATATGTACAAATGGTCAATAAGCACATGAAAAGAATGCCCAACCATCATCAGTAATTACAGACTACTGTGGAGTTGATTCTGATTCACAGGAACACTATGTAGGCAGAAGCAAACAGCCCCACCTTTCTTCTGCAGAGTAGCTGGTGGGTTAGCAGACCGATGTTTAACCCATTGTGCCATTAGAGCACTAATCATTGGGAAAAATCAATCAAAAGTACAATGAGCTATCATTACCATCCCCACTAAATAAGTAGGCAGAAGAACAAAAACTCAGGGGTAGAAAAACTAGGACTCTCTTCTCTTACTAGTGGGAGTGTGAAATGCTGTGGAAAGCAGTTTGGCACTAATATAAAAAGTTATACATAGAATTACCTTATTACCCAGCAATTCTACTCCTGAGTATATAACCAAAATACTTGAAAACAAGGACTCAGATAATTGTACGCCAATGTTCATTATAGTAATAGTCACAATAGCCCAAAAGGTGGAAACAATACCAGTGTCCATCAATAGATGTGTGGAAAAACAAATGTGGTATATCCGTACAATGAAATAGTATTCAATTACAATGAGAAATGAAGTTCTGATACCTGTTACAAAATGGATGGAACTTATAAAATATTACACTAAGTAAAACAGGTCAGAAACATTCTGACTGTGGTAGCAATTGTACAACACTGATGTGATTGAACGATAGAATAACAGGATACTGTATTAACTCAAAATAAAATGGCTTTGTAAAAACAGCAACAAAAGGAGCAGTACAATTTGATCCTCTTATTTGAAATATTGAGAATATATAAATAAACAGAGAGAAAAGCTCATTAGTGGTTAGTAAGAACTTGAGGTGAGGGAACTAGGTATTACTGTATAAACAGTGAGTTTCTGTTTGGGATGATGAAAAATTTGTGGAAATAAGTGAGGATGATTGCGTAATATGGTGAATATAGCTAATGTCACTGAATTAAATAATTTGAAAATGTTTAAAATAGCAATGTCTTTGTTATGTACATTTTACCAAAACTAAAAAAATACTATATAGGACAAACTCCTAATTTAAGAACTGAGTTACAAAACTACTACACT